GACAGGTGCTTGGAAACGCTGTTTTGTACTCATTTATTGACGAGTCGGCTGCAGTGCTTCTCTGCCGCTCACTGCACAGAACAGACGCTGAGAGAGGCGACACTTCTCCGGGAAAGTCAGACCTCGCGTTTGCGGGACAGCACTGGCGAAATCTTCCAACTGAACCATAGCTAAGGTTTATCCAAAGAAGCCGCTAGGTTTGTCAGTATGAATATTCTATGGAAAAAAGCCGCTAAAAGGGTCTGAAAGTTGCTAAATCTAGTGCTAAAGTCGCGCTCGTGTGTGTGAGACGCGGGAGCTGATGGCAGCGGGCAGTGGATATTTGTGGCGGTCAATGTGGATATTGTGGATGAGTTCTTCTGTGTCATCACGTTCTATTAGTTCTACAGCTTCAGTTTCAGAACTTTCACGCTTAGTAACACATACAGCTGTTCCCTCACCACAGTGCAACAGTGAAAAGAGACCCCTTTCAAACAGTGTCGCGTTCCGAGCGTTGTTTAAGCGACATACACCGGTATTGCGGTATTTTAAAAATTCATATAATAACAAGAATAAACACCGGTATGAACCGGTATACCGCCCAGCACTACTTTTGTGAATAATTACCAGTCAGGGTCTTTGGGAAAACGATGAAAGATCATATTTTTACTGTCACACTGATAGTTTTTGCAGTGGTTTGTGTTCTTTTATTCCATGTTGACCTCTCTTTTGTTGTTATTCTGTCTATTTCTGTATATCTGTGCTGTTGTCCAGTTGGACTTTTCACCCCAAAATGGCGGCCGCGCTACCGAAGCGCCACCTAGTGGCTGCTACCCAAAAAGCATCAGAGTTTCACCTCTTGGTCTTCCATACTCTTTGGTTACCATACGTATTATCAGAACTAACGTACTCATGAAGCGCGACTGGATGTACGGGAAGCAAAATGGTTCGGAAAGTACCGTCTTTTCTCCGAAACTTGAAAATGGATTTGAAAAGCGAGGTTTCCCCTACTTACAACTGATATAAACATAATGTTTGAGGCTTTGGTTATTACGCACAAGTCTCTAGCACAGGCCTATTTGAAACACAATGTCTGTCAGATGTGTTTTTAAATGTCGCTTAATTTTATGATTGAAATAAACATAGCACATTATACACGCTGGAAAATTTAAGAATGGCTTCAAAATTCAATTAGATTTATTGCAAGAAAAGCATTTGTATTCTTTTTCTGTGGATGGATTATTAACACAAATCATATGGAACCATCGCCCACAGTCGTCACAGGAAATCTGTAAAAATAATAATAATAAAAAAATGTTAGCAACATTGTCAGCAGTTGTGCTAGTCTATCAGGGATCAACGCTAATGATTTTTTCTACTGGCCAGTGGTTCAAATTTTTACTTGCCCTGCCACAAAAAATAAAATAGTTGCTGTTATCATTGTTTTTGATCTGTTATCTTGTATTCTAATAAATAAGCTTATATGACACCAATATTTTAGATACCAATTGAATTTTACAGTTCTCTATTTCAATTTCGATACCACAGCAAAAATCACTAGGCAAACATAAATATAAAGTTTAAACATTATTAAAGACAAGGCAGCCAGTAAATAAGAACAAATGAACAAATTACAAGTAATAGCACAATTAAATAGGCAGCCTATAGCACAAAAATAGAAATTAATTGATGCTTTAGGTTTTTATGTTTGTAGATGTTCAGGTACAGAAATTGAAATCACATAAAATAACATTTGCATATTCTTCACTCTGTGTTGCACCTTGATTTTTCATAGCCATTTGAAATTAGAGGCAACCACTGCATTTTAATCATGAATTGAAAAAAAGTGCAATGTTTGATTTATATTAGACTGTATAATTTCAAAATCTGAAGCAAAAACAGAATAACCTGACTTTAGCTTTGTGAAATTATGCTACAGAAAACATCTGCACGAAACAGAAACAGCCCCAAATGACGCACTATGCACTTATGCACTCAGTCGTGTGGTGTATGAATTTAGTATCGTCCCAAATGGAATACTAACGTTTTTTTGCTAACCGGAAATTCAAAACGTTTCCCAGTCGACGGCATGTGACGTATAGCGGATGTAAAACAAGGCCAAACTATTTGTTTTGCTACCAAAGATGAATTTATACTTTTTATTATTTACATTAATAGTACCCGTCATGACAAGCACAATCCCAGGCACCGTCAGGAGAATGTTGCTTGCCCGATCCAAAATAAATATAGTAAGTTATTGTTGCGGCTGCTGGAAATGTAAACATGAGTATAGTGCCCCACAGTGGCAGAACGTAGCAGCAGCCTTAATTTAATGCTAATTTTGAATTTCTTCTTTTCCCACTTCCTTTTTAACGCCGAGCAAATATTTAAAAAACCAGACCCAATTTTACTCAATTTGTTAATTTTCGAGGTGTTTAAAATAATGCAAAAAAACATTGTAAAGATAATTTTTTATTCCTTTTGTAAAAAAATATTTATTCCTGCCAACACAAATCAAATAGCGATAAATAACATGATCATCAATCAAATATATCTGAAATATATTTTAGTGAGAGAGACCAAGCCAACACTGCCAGCTGAGCAACACTGTTCCCATTCTGGCAGTGTATTTTGATGGCATTAGTGATCTCCGCCCTGACTTTCGTCTGTCGAGACGGTGATACAGTTGCTTAATGACAGCCCTGGGAGAAGAGTGTGACCATGGCTGGGGCCCTGTGCTGGAGACACTTGTGTTCCTGTTTTGGTTAGCAAGTGCCACTTCATATCGAGTGGTTGCCAGGGTTTTTCCCATCCCTCGCTCTACTGTACACAGAGCCATCCACAACGTCAGCAGGAGAATCTTCCTTCTGCTGATGACCTACCTTCATTAGGTGATGGATTTGCCAGGCTTGCTGGGTCTGCCATCTTCAATAATGTGGTGGGCAGCATTGATGGATGTCATGTGCGTCAGTAGCTGACGCCCTTTGCTACTTAAACAGAAAAGTATTCTATTCAATCCAATCTCAGGCAATCTGTGATCACACAGGCACATTTCTAGATGTGTTTATAGGGTTCCCTGGGTCTGTGCATGATGCTAAAACATAGCCCCATCTTCCACCAGAGGCTTTATCCTCCCCCTGTGTGTCCCAGCCAATTAAATGAATGACCCCCTACAGACACCCTCTACACACACTGGTTCAGCAGGCTTTTAACCACCACCTGTCAAAAGCACGTAGTGGTGTAGAGCGGGCTTTTGGGGTTCTGAAAACCAGGTGGCGCTCTTATCTTCCTGAAAGCCCTTGAGGTTGACCCCCTGTATGCACCCGAGGTTGTGGCCTGCCGCACAGTTCTGCATAACATCTGTTTAACAGATGGAGACTTCATAGATGCAGATGAGGCAAATGACAGCATTGATGAGGATGAACCAAGTGGCAACCTCCCGCTGTCTCTCGCTTGAAGCCAACACGGAAGTGACTAAAACTGCAATTCATCAACTGGCCGCTAGAGGCTGGCTCCAAAAGGGAGTCAGTCACATGGACTCCCCATGTTAAAATGCCCAACTTTACAGCAGAAAAAAAACATGTTTACAGCCTGGTACAAAAAGTGCTTTTGGTCTATATAGCTAATTTTGCCCTTCATGACAACTGTGAGGGGGGTGAATTTTTTATAACTCATCCGTTTAAATCATATTAAGCCTTAAAGTTCTGCATAATTAAGGGCGTGGCCACTTGAGTGACAGGTGGA